CACGCTTCTGTATCCGGCCGTTCCGCAAATTCAACTTCTACTACGAGAAGCGACGCCAACTCGGCCGTGGCCGAGTATGATATCAGCAGCGCATTTTGGACGCTGCAAACCAACCCCTTGGAGACGGAGTTTTTGGCCTTACGCGATCCACGGAAATCTGCACCCCCCGAAGGTATATTGCTGGATCGATCGATTCCGTTTGGAGCCAAAGCTTCATGCTCAGTGTTTGTCCGGGTTAATTCATGTATACATCGAGTACAACGCCGTCTATTGGGATGCAGACTTAGACCGGTGCCGTGTAATATTCCTGCGGTTGGTACCCCGGGGGGAAATATGAGTTTAGTTCGACGTCCACGGGGCTTCATTTTTGTAGACGACTCGCGGTGGATCCTCGACAACATCATCTACCTCGTTATGTTGTTGATGCTAGCGCTGACTGTCCGAGTGGGTATCGAGTATGGAAAAGTGCACTTCCTGGCTGATAACTGTCGGGTGCTCGGTTGGCAAGTGGATTGCAATGCCGGCCGCGTTGGCGATTGCTCGCCATGCCTTTCTATTCCTCCAGACAAGGCCCAACGCTACGCTGCAGCCATCAAGGAAATACTGGACAATAGAGTTGTCAGTACCGTTGAATTTGCCAGTGTAGTTGGGAAATTATCATGGTGTACTCAGTTAATGCGCCCATGGCGTCCGCATCTGGCCTCGCTGTTCGCCCAGAAAGCCGTTGCGGAGAAGCGCGAGTTGAGGACGCTCCGTCTTGGTGGGGGTGTGCAGGGCGATCTACGCTTCTTCTACGGTGAACTAACAACCCCCTTGCCGCGGATTCCTGCGAAGAAGATACTAATGAACACAGTACTCTTGGTTACCGATGCCAGCATAATAGGTTTGGGTGGTTATCTGAGGGTCAAGCAGGAAATCTACTGGTTCAATCTCAATAAGATGGATGACCCTTGTTGGTGGAACATGTTATGTGAGGTCAGAGCAGGAGAAGAACCGTCACAGTCCCGGGAGGCTGTCTCTGGTGACATCAGCTTCCTCGAATTGTCGGCTATATGCGTGGGGGTACTGGTGGCGGAGGCCGTACTAGACACTGATCCTGACGACCAGACTGTATTGATTCACTCCTTCTGTGACAATTCCTCGGCCGTGAGCACCATCACCCGCTGGTCTTCAAAAGTGAGATCAATGCGGCGAGTCCTCTCACAAATCTCCCCATGGGCCAACCGCCTTACATCGCAACATGTTTCAGGCGTGTCCAATATAGCCGCCGATTACATAAGTCGGAATATACGCGCATCCACTGTGAAACAGGTCCCAGCTAGCTGGACCCACGTGGCTCTGTCTCTGCTTCCCTCGGTGGGAGCCCTGTGTGCTTGCGACGCCTGATCTCATTAAACCCTGCTTAGTCTCCACCTCATCTCTGGGGAGTTGTGTTTATAATGATGGCGTCTGACAACCTGAAGCACACCTCTAT